TTTTGTAATGTTGACTAGCCCAATCACACGTTGGTGGGTGGAGTTAATGTAAATAGCCTCTGCCAACAAGGCGGGCTATTTGCACTTAGTGTACACTCCGATTTTTTTTATTCTCAACAGTTAAACAGTTGCCAATAGAAAAAAACAGGCACCCCCACTTCCCGCGCCTATGGCCCAAGCCTTCTGAACCTCCAGCTTCACCCGGGCCCTCCAAGGCCATGTGTCCTTCTCGATCCTCCGATCGCTCGGCTCCACTGGTACATCATTCAGTCTGCTGATTTCCACCTGCTCCACCATGGACCTCTGAGCTTTCAGCTTCACCATGGCCCCTCTTTGTTTACACCGGGGTTCTCCATCACTTTGGCTCCACCGTTGGCCTCGGTTCTCTTGTGTCTAAGAACTACTATGTAAATATGACTACAGCGTAGTTGAACTGCTTTCATAATTGATTAACTTTACACATTACTGAACGGAACTGCATCAACACTGAACTGACCTCAGCTGAGCAATGACATTTTTTTAGAGCAGAACTGATGTCTGTTTGCATCCCTGAATCATTATTTTCCTGTTTATCCCTGTAAAGCTGCTTTGAAACAATCTGTATTGTATAAATCACTATAAATAAAGATGACTATTAATTTAACGAAGAATCGGGATTAAGATCCATATGCAGCTTCATTGACAAAGCACAGAGAGTAGTCAGACAGGTGCGGGTTGATCACCAGAGAGCAATACACACAACCAGGGGCTGGTCAGATATCGTGGAATGTAAACAGGTACAGGTTCGAGGTAGGCAGAAAACAGTCAACAGCACCGTCAAGGCAATACAAAGCAAAGGTCTCTAGGCAGGCAGCAAATAATCTAAACCAGGTAAACAATTAGGAGATCAAAATACACAGGCAGCGGAAACATAGTGGAGAACGCTCAGAAACATCAGCCATGGCAAAACAAGATTTCACACTGAGCCGTGTTTGCTCGGTGCTTAAAGGAACACTCCACTATTTTTGAAAATAGGCTAATTTTCCAACTCCCCTAGAGTTAAATAGTTGAGTTTTACCGTTTTTGAATCTATTCAGCCGATCTCGGTCTGGCGGTAGCACTTTTAGTAGCTTAGCATAGATCATTGAATCTGATTAGACCGTTAGCATCTCGCTCAAAAATGACCAAATAGTTTCTATATTTTTCCTATTTAAAACTTGACTCTTCTGTAGTTACATCGTGTACTAAGACCGACGGAAAATGAAAGGTTGTGATTTGCTAGGCTGATATGGCTAGGAACTATACTCTCATTCTGGCGTAATAATCAAGGAACTTTGCTGCCGTACCATGGGTGCAGCAGGCGCAATGATATTACGCAGCGCCTGAAAATAGGCTAACTTCCGTCAACATAACCAACGTGACCACCTGCTTGCACAGGGAGCGTGCTGGGGACTATTTTCAGGCACTGCGTAATATCATTGCGTGATGATAAACTCTTTTTAAAATTTTTTTGAAAATCTAAAATAGCAGAACGTTTTGTAGGTAGGTAGGTTTAAGGGTAGGTTTAGGGTAACAGAGTACAGTTTGTACAGTATAGGCTATAAAAACCATTACGTCTATGGAAACCAGTATGTGTGTGTGTGTGTGTGTGTGTGTGTGTGTGTGTGTTTCTATCCCGGTGGGGATTTAAACCTGAATACACACTTTTTTTTATGGATGGGTGCTTTTTATTTCACTTCTTTTGGACTGAAGCACTGTAACACCCACTGACTGCAATGATAGAGCTTGGAATAGCCAGGACAATTTTCTAATATAACTCCGACTGGATTCGTCTGAAAGAAGAAAGTCATATACACCTAGGATGCCTCTGGGGCAGGGGCGTAGATTACGCGGGGGACTACAAACTTGCCCGAAAAAGTGCGGGGGACGAATTTACGTGATATTAAAAGTTTTAATGTGTCCCCCCCACTTTTAATATCACGTAAATTCATCCCCCGCACTTTTTCGGGCAAGTGTGTTCGCATAGAGGTTTTCA